GTTAATGTTTTATTCTATTTATTATATGACAGGACAGTCTGTCTGTCAGTTATGTGTATATAATCAGCATAATAATCGTCTTATAAACTACTAATAATAGTCTTATAGTCTTTTAAAGATTCAATAAATTAATTTATTTTCATTTAAAACTGATAGAATAAAAATGTTTAAACAATTCAATACGTATATTTGAGACTGCGATATTTAATTTACAATATACTCTTTACAGCAAGTATTAGTTAACAGTAAGAGCATATTTCATTTTCTATATTTATAATAATCTAGTATATATTGTTAGAAAACATTAATGAATTGGAACTGTTGGTGGATCCGAAACAGGATCAAACTCGTCAACACTTTCCACATATTGTACATTTTTCCAATGCGGTTTCAACTCCCAGTGCATTCGTGATTCCATCATCGTTAGACGCAGGAGATATGTATTCGTTCAAAATAACTTTAAGTTTGAAAAGTGGAGCGTATTTCAAAGTGCATTCGTCTGTAACCATCTTCGACTGGATCGCGTATCCGTATTTGATGAAACCGATCAAGTAATTCAGATAGTTTATAACGTTTCGGTCTACGCAAATAAAATATTCACATGTATAACTTTAATATGTTAGAGAATAACTATGTTAGAGAATTTATTACTGTGCAAAATTACTTGAAATGGTGCCAGCATACATATTTAAAAATCGATCCTCTTGACACCATATATTTGACAGTCAAATAATTGTAGTAAGAACTGACAAGAAACTGGCAAGAAACTAGCAAGAAAACTGGCAAGAAAATGGTAAGAAACTGGCATCAAAACTCTCCTCTCCTTCCATGTTGGTTAGCGAAGTTAGAAATTGAGCACCTATAGCTTTAGCAATTCTTTTCAGATCAGCCTTTTTACATCTGCATACTGCCATGGTTTTAGTCTCCACAAAATACTATAGAAAGATCAAGATGAATATATCGCACTCAATTCTAGAACTCGTCATTTAAAATGTATAGTTATACTAATACTTTTAAGCATAAATCATCAATGCCACCAGATAAAAGAACGACTTAGTTTCAGCAGCAAGAATCTTCTGAATACGTTTCTTGGTAATATCTGGCTCACGTTAACGAACGGCTTCGAGTTTCTCCGGATCTGTAATAAGTATATACTTCAACGCCCATCTTCATTTTTACTTTCTGCAACGAGAAGTCTAGACATGTGATTTTTGGGTTCGTTATCCTCTTTGGCATTGTTTGAGAGGCGACAGTTTCATTTACACAGCCAAACTGAAGAGGAAAAAAAATTTTAATTTAATTTATTTAATTCAATTTTAATTTTAATTTATATTACGAAATGCACCATCTAATTTATTATTGATATACTAACTTATTCTTTTATACTTATCTTAATTTTATGGTATCCATTTAAAATTTTTAACCTTCGCGGCACACAGAACGCACTTCTTCACTATGTTTTGATTCTGTCATTACGTTGACAGCTACCTATATATGTAATACTACTATATGGCTAGTGCCTATAAGAGGGAGTGAGAGGAAGCGGTCCTAGAACCACGGTGCGGGAATATATATTTCCCTCTCTTTCTAAGAGTACTTTGAGTGTTGTGCGCATGCGTTGGATTGATTGCATCCGCCAATAGGAAAATAGAGTGCGATCAGTGAGATGATGCGAACAGGTTATGCTCGTTATGCTTATTCATATATGTAATACTACTATATGGCTAGATGAGAGAGAAGTCCATGTCCCAGAACCACGGTGCGGGAATATACTTCTCTCTCTTTCTCAGCGTACTTTGAACGTTGTGCGCATGCGTTGGATCATCCCCTCCATCATTAATAAATAGATGGATAAATATACATATATGTGTAAGGAAGAAGGAAAAAGTGATTGATTCCGCTTCAGGGTATAACTTTGTTACAGTTAACAGAGTCAGTTTAGTCGGAATAAATAAATTAACCCTAATTTTATGAAATAAACTTTTTCAAGATTGCCGTTATGTATATAAGAATACAGTGCAATCCCTTACAGAAATTTCATGATAATCAGTGCAAACTAATACCTATTTCATACCTATGCAAACTAATGTTTTCAGTCGCATTAGGCGCATTAGGCTTTTTGCCACATAAATAACATATCTTGACCATTTTTGCCTGTGTACAACAGCACACATCTAATAAGCATAACGAGCATAACCTGTTCGCGTCATCTCACTGATCGCACTCTCTTTTCCTATTGGCGGATGCAATCAATCCAACGTATGCGCACAACACTCAAAGTACTCTTAGAAAGAGAGGGAAATATATATTCCCGCACCGTGGTTCTGGGACCGCTTCCTCTCACTCCCTCTTATAGGCACTAGCCATATAGTAGTATTACATATATGGCCGCGACGACCATCAATTCACTACTAGAAAAGAAGAGGACTACTCCGCGAGTCGCGGACCGCGACTATTTCTCTCTCTTTCTATCAAGTCTTCAGTTTCTCTCGGGGTGCGTTCCGAGTTAAGGTACTTTTTCATGCGCAGCACGCTGCAGCAGCAATTCGTTACTATTGGTTAAGAATTTTATGTAAGCTAGATGACGCACTTCCGGCGCAAAATACATTTTGCCGCAGTTCGTTGAAGTTGAACCGAACGAACAGCAAGCAGCAA